TAGCCCACATCACAAGCATGACCGTGAGAGAGCTGACAATTGATCTCAAGATTAGGTTGCTCTAAAACTAATAGTACAGGAAGATTCACATATAATTATGGCAAAAGTTGCAGCTTCTGTACGTAGCTGGTGGAGAACAGAAGAAGTCGGATGGTTAAGTCATTTGCCCTGTACATATCATGATATAAAAGTACTAAATATCAAAGAGGGTTGCACATATATACAACAGCTAAGAGACAATTATGCAAGGGGAATAAGACGAGACAACATTGTCATTTATGCTAATTTTATTAAGGAAATCAAAATATGTGATATACCCCTTGTCCTAGACGGATCAGTATTTTTTTTATAGAAAAATTGCCAAATTTCATACTGTATGTATGATTCAACACTTAATCACCCGTTAGCCCATCAAGAGTGAGATTTTATCCTAATAAACCTCGATGTATTTAGGAATAGACTTGTATAATATATTGAAATTTGTTTTGTCAATTTTGATCAAACGTGAGATTCTCAACACAAAGTGATATTAGTTTAGTGGGACTGCTCTTTTCACTTTTAAATTAGGTCATAAATCCGAATCAACATCTCCATAAAGGTTCAAAATTAACCAATTTCTTTACTTAATTGTATACATAAACTAGAAAAACAACCCAATCTTATAAACAAAGGTTTATATGTTTTACGTACCTTCCTGTGTTCTTGTCCTTGCATTAAAATAAACAAGTTTTGTTGAACTACTATTACTTATAAGATTTGGAAAAATAATAATCAATAAAATTAGAGGCCATTTGTTTTAATTTTAAATATCACAAAATATATCCCTTAGACTCATAAGTTTAGGAGATAAAATTGTCGTTGACGTATTCGGTTAGGCTTTTTCTTCAATTGTACTCGACAACATTAGTGATGTAATATGCACCTAATCTTGTAAGTACTCAGAAAATCATGTACCAAATACGTAAAGGCAGTTGCAATAGTTGATAATTCATGCTTGTTTCCTTCACAAAGATCCTCTCAGATTTGGAACCTATTATATTAAGTCAATTGTGAAGAAGAAGTCAAGCAACCAAGGTCAGACCTTGCATGGTTGAATTCAACGCCTTGGGCTCCCCTTAGGGTTTAGGCTTGGAACCTGATTTGGTTCAACCCAAAAGAAGTTGGAGGTTTTGTAGTTGAGTTGAGTTGCTTTTTCCTTTTTCTGACCCAGTTCATATTGTATATGGGTTGATGTTTTTTCTATTGGCCCATTGTCCTGTCGATCTCGCCAAAAATTGCACAATGTCTTGACTCTCCGCATAACCATAACAAATCAAAGACTAGAGCTTATATTCAGCAAAAATTATTTGATATTACACGTTTACTTGGAAAATTTCCTGATATTACATCTATTTTTTAATCCAATACATTTCTCGTTCTAAGTTGGTAAACATGTTATTAGTTTTTCGATAAATAAAAAAAGAACACAATGAGCCTTAATTAGTTAATTAAAAAAACTCAACGCAGGGTGATAGTTCAAACGACATCATCCACACCTCCCTCTCTCTAATGTTCAACTGATGCTTTTTCTTTCTCATAGTTGCTGATTGTGTGAGATTCAAAATCACAATTAAGAGAAGAATATCACTAAATCAATAGTTAGCTATTTGATGCATTGTGTTGAAAACAAAATCATTATTTATTTGGAATAGAGAACTTTAACGAAAATCTTCTGGTACTATTTACTTTAACGAAAAACCATATTTTTACACTAAAAAGTCAATCATAGTACTATACATTTTACCCTTTATTTTGTCCTTATCGTTAAAACTCAAAGTTTTCAAACAATTTTCATTAGTTTTTCTTTGGAATATGCACTGAAAATTAAATCAAAACTAGTAAGGTCATTCCCTAATTAATTGCACTTCCGCTTGCACTATTCTGTCAAGTGGCAACCAGGCCATTATCCAATCCAAGGGTTTCGGTGTCAAAAGCCAAGCACAAGTAGCGTCTGATGTGCCCATTTCTTCTAGTGGGGACCAATATGACATTGACAAGCCAACAGCACTTGACCAGAGTGCAATCCGCACATGCTGCCATGACTTTATACGCTTGCCACCTTCCTAAGCAAAGGAAATTATGCAACCGAAAAAATACAAAAAGGCTAGAAAATTTGTTGAATCTCATCATCTTTCAAGCGAAATTTCTCAGGATTCCTTTTCAGTCACATCTCAATCCACTTTCTGGCAAAGGTAATCCTCTCTAATCATATGTTTATGAAATCCTTAATCCTTTGTCCTCTTCACATGTTGATCTCTCTCATAAGTGAACCCACTTTTCCTTTTTCTTGCACATGAGTTGGTGAGGCGCACATTTTCTTCCCAACTGGATAAGATTTGTGTGTATGGGAATTCAGTTAGAAGATCAATAGATATCACAAGCAATTGTAAAATTAGGGTTCACTTTGATGTTGTAGAATTCAGTGTAATTCCTCTGAAGTTGTGGAAACACGAATCCTAGAACATCTGGAATCCATCAAAGGAGAGAAAATCGTCTACGGATCGTGTCGATTGATTCATAAATGGCATTCTACAGCTCCAACTACTATGAGGCTGGTGATCTTGGTGAGTATAGTTTAACCCCTTATGCTGATATTCATGATCATCATGCTTCTCTAGATCAAGGACCAACATCTTATTATTATTCTAGCCATGAGCCCCCCACCCAAAACTCGTATTATTATTCTAGCCATCAGCCCCCCACCCAAAACTTGTTTCAGTATGATCCAACTCCATCTCAATATTATTATGCTTGTCAAAATTCTTACACAAAACCTCTATCCATCAATTACTACCCAAATGTTTATAACCCGAGTTATGATGCTGAAGTGACTCAGTTTATGATATCTTATTCCGTTTCTTCCAAGTTTAATGAGCTTGAATTTGAAGAGTATGATCCTACACCTTATGGTGGTGGATTTGATATTGTTCAAACTTACGGAAAGCCCCTTTCGCCTTCACTTGAAACTTGTTATCCTCGTTCTTCTGGGCCTGCTGCACTAAATCCCCCCTCTTTAGAAGGTGTCACTGATGGCTCTATCGTGCCGTTGAGTGGTAAGCAAGAACCTTCTCAGCAAGCACCAAAACCCATCAATGGAAGCCAACCGATGCAAGCGGTTGAAGAAGAGAAGCAGCACCAAGAGAGGAGAGAAGATCAGCCAAGTCAAGTCGAAGAAAGCCCTAATCAAGTTGAGGAAAGTGAAGAAGTTGTGCAGGGTAGTTATGAACATGGGCAGGAAGTGTATAATCAAGTTCCTAGTGGATATGGACTGGAGGCCATGGATATTTGTGAGAGTTTGTTTGGGTATTGGCCTTGCCTGGCTCGTGATTTTAAGAGAGGCAATGGAAATGGTGATTCATGCTATGAATTTGGTAGTGGTGAAGGAAGATATGGGAATCCATGGAAAGGAACTGCAGATTATCTTTTCGGAAGCTCAAATCCGTATGGAGAAATAAGGGATGAAGGAAGCAACTATTTACAATAGGCAGGATTGGATAAACTGAATATATTTTGGAGATTGTAAGAACTCTGTCTTCTTGTTATCCACAACTTTTTCAAGTCAGAATCTTTGTTTGTAAGAATGAATAATAATGTTGGACAAAGCCTTCTTAATAAAAGCTTCTTTGGAAGTGCTTATTTATAAAGTGGTAAGCACTTTTGTTTTTGAAGTGTTTTTACTGAAAGTGTTTTTGTTAGAAGCTAGCACAAAGAAAATTTCACTAAAAATTAGTGTTTCATGAAAATGCATTTGGTAGGTGCCATCCAAAAAGCACTATGAATGACATTAACAATCCAAAAATACTTTTAAGTTTTTCTTTCGAACAATATCAAAAGCGTTTCGAAAGAGTAAAAGCACTCCAAAACATTCTCCAAATCTTTGTTTGTTCTTAATCAATTCTTGTTACTAATTACATTCTCTGTTAAGGCGACATTAATGACAGCAGTTAAGGCATCAGCAGGCAAACTTGGGAGGGAAAGGACCATTAGCATGCATGGATCAAAATCATCGAATGGAAGCATGTGTACCTTATGAAGACATAATGATAAAAGGTTCATCAAGAAAGCATACGTCGGATTTGATGGTTTATAAACGATCATGCTGCTTGATGCATCAACAAAATAATCTTCCTTAAAAATTTGACAACAATAATGAAGTTTATGTACGGAAATATGATTACATACACCAATTTTCACTTGTGTATTTAAGAAAACGAATTTGAACCTTGTGAAAAAATCTAACTGAAGCATTTAAAAAGAAGGAACTCACTTTTCGTGGTTTTATGGTAATTTGGAGTATTCTATATCTGATCATTAATTTGATTTGAGTACCGTTACAGGGTAGACAGTAGACCTCAATTTGAGTACATTTTTTCTTAAACATGACAGATTCTTGTCTAATTAGGAAAAGAAGTATCACTAAATCATTAACTAGTGTGCACCTCCTAGAAGTATCACATTTTACTCTCTTAAACATGAGAGATTCTTGTCTAATTGTCTTTGACGGAAGTACATGACACTAGACACAAGGATGTGCAACTAGCAAGGGATGGATTTTTTAGTGTGCTGGAAACACGGTCATGTACAACAAGTGTCATAATATAAATTGTTGGATACTTGAAAAAATAATTTTCAACCGCTTATATTATGACACTTGGTACCGGGTCATGTTCTTAACACACTAAAAAAGTTCTCCTAGCTAGGATAGGTGAGTGTAACCAAAATACGGAGAGAATAAGGATATTTTGTGTGTGTGGATGGACAATCACATGATTTCGAAAAGTATATAATAAAATTTTAACATATAAAAAATATTACTCTTACCACATCACATTTTTGGTATGTCCGTCCAGACACTTTGTGTAATAAATTACTGTAAAATATTACTTATAAAAAAGAAATGAAAAAACTAGTAAATAAATTGTACCCTTTTTTCAATTTGTATATTAATGACCTTAAATAAAAACCCTCTTTGAAACCTCAGACATTCAGCTTTTGTCTGTCCTTCCTTCGCACAATGTCTCTGACACCAATATCTTTGCTCACTCTCTATCTCCTTCTCTTCCTTCTTCCTCCCACCGCCACCTCAACCCTCCACAACCTCCTCCAAAGCCAAGGCCTCCCCGCCGGGCTCTTCCCGGACAATGTGAAGTCATACAATCTCGACCAGACGGGCCGCCTGGAGGTGCATCTGGACCGCTCGTGCATGACCAAGTTTGAGACCAGAGTCTACTTTGAAAGCGTAGTCAGAGCTAATCTCAGCTATGGAGTGCTCAGAGGCTTGGAGGGTTTGACTCAGGAGGAGCTTTTTCTTTGGCTGCCGGTGAAGGGAATCTCAGTGAGCGATCCGTCTTCTGGGCTGATTTTGTTTGACATTGGTGTTGCCCATAAGCAGCTTTCTCTCTCTCTCTTTGAAGACCCCCCGGTCTGCAAGCCTCAATCTCAAGGTACAAAAAAATCCCATCTTTTTTCTCTCTCCTCTCTCTACAAATTTAGTCAATAGTACAGATCTTTGAAATGAAATGTGACTTTGGGAATTCTTATTCCCCACAATTGAATTCCAATTGTCTATTTGATATTTTGATCCAATGTATTAGTGAAGGGAAGTAATTTCCGCACACCCTTTTCTCCTAAGTACATCCTGGTTTTTATGTGGCGTTTTAATTGAATAAATCTTAGGAGGGTGCGTTGAATGAGAAAATGAGTATGTGGAAATCGTTTCCTATGCATTATTGCAATTTTTAGCATTAAGGTTGTAAAATTGACATTAGAACCATGCAATGCAGGCATTTCACTGAAGAGTGAAGGAGGAAGGAAGATTGGATTTCAGGCCCAGAGATGAAGATTTGATCTTTTGTCACTTGACAGATAATCTTTCTCCTCTTTTTGTTTTGTGGGTATTTTTCTCTTTTAATTTTGCGCAAAAAAAGATTGAATGTTCATAGAAGCTTGTTAGGATTGTAAACAAAAGGAATGGAAAAGTGAGGCTAAGATTTGGAATCAAATGGTGCAATTTTGGAATTTTGCTCAATTGGAAATTTTGGGGTTTTTATATTTTTGTCTCAGTAGTTGCTTGGTCCCTAAGCCTGCAATATTGGTTAGCTGTCTTGTGGTATTTGCTTGTGTTTGTTTTTGTTGACACGTTCGTGGGATGGTGCAGTCCCTTATGTTCTTTTATGTTGTCAAGCTATAGCCAAACAATTTTCCATTTCTTTAATTAATAACTTCATCTAGATTAAATTAGAATATCGCTCCGATAAAAACATGATGTCCTAGAACCTTCTGGATTGCCATATGCCAAGTGAAATTAACAAGTAATCAAAACAGAAAACAATGTTAGTTGTTTTTCAAGTTGTGTTGTGTTGTAGTTTGAAAGTGATTGTATGATCTGATCCTTCCATTTTGCTCTATATGTCATTGATGATCTTCAGCATCAATTCCCTGGTTTGCTCAACTTCGAGCATTTCGCAGGAGAATCCCTGAAAATGATTAGAATTTATATTAACTTCTGGTACAGATAAAATTTCACAGCTTTCTTTGTTTTTGCGATGACTTACCGTTACACAGGATGAAACCATCATTGCTCCACTGGAGGTAGTGATGCTGGTGTCAGTGAGTTCGAAGCCAAAGGTGGTCATGGCTCCCATCAGTTTTGTGAACCCTCCTCGTTTCTTCTCGAGGACTACCTTCACCCAGAGTTTGTTCCCATCAATCTTGGTCACATTCACCTCTGTCTGCCAAACCAGCAACAACATTGAAAATATATGAGCTGAAAAAAACTCCTATATTGTTCTAAGAGATTGAATATGCTTAGTTGTTAGCTGGTTGTTGAAACCTGAATCCCGAATTTCTTCATCTCTTCTGCTGCATCAGCATGAGTTTCGTCTGTGTTTGGCTCCAGTGTTTCTTCTGATGATGCTTCCATCTCAAAAATCTGGTCCTGGAGGAGGTCTACTTTCTGCTGCAGCTCCTGGATGTAAGTGATGGCATCCTCAACAATGGTTGCTTTGTTCATCTGAAACACGGCGAAAAACCATAGATGAGATACTCATGTTAATAATGGAAACTGTTAAAATTTAAGGCAGGCAATCAAGGGCTTTGAGTACTTGCATTTGTTATATTTGGGACCAATGAGCGTAGTGCAAGGAGCCTTCCACTTAGCTTCTCCCTTCTCCTCCTCTCGGCGAACAGATTTTTGGATTTGAATTCGCTGTCAGTTTTGGATTTGAAGCTCATCGTTCCCCCTCCGCTGCCTTCTTCTTCTGCTAAGCATAATTCATCCAAGACACAACTCACAGAGTTCATATTTCTGGATATGTTTTGATCAAAGTTAGTTTTAACAAGTGGGAGAGAGAGAGAGAGAGAGAGAGAGTAGTTTCTGTTATGAAATCATATAGATGGTCCTCACAAGGGTATCATTCCATTGTGTGTGAGGGAGAGGAATTTTTTAGAGTCTAACTAACTAGAGAGAGAGAGGAAGGGAGAGAGAAATGTCCTAGACATTCAGTTTAGTACGTCCAATTGGTTAGGGGTTGTTTTAATATATACACTTACTGTAGTTATCTTGATCGTTCAATTTAATCCGTCGGATGAGTTTAAAGAGAGGAACAAGAAGTAGCTTGATTTCAACATCTAGCATTCACACGTGTGTGAGGTTTGTGTTTGGCAGTAAATTTTCACACTAGTTTTCTCTTTATACGCTTTTATCTAACCCTTATTTCTCCTTTAATTGATCATATCAAATAGTTTAAACGAACGAGTAAGAGTGGATAATAAAAAATAGAGTGCAAAAATCACAATGATTGTTTTTGTTTTTGAATATATTCATGTCATGCCTGGTGGTCTTGTTGACCGGAAAAAGTACATAAACGTTTGAAGGTTTGTTAGGGCAGACAATATTCCTTTCTCGTAGAGTGTAGAGTACATTTTGTAAGGCCATTCTTTCTAAATATTGTCTAGCAACTCAGCTGTGCTCCGTGTACTTATTCATGTCACATTACTTTTGCCAACAGAGGAAGGGCAAAAACCAAACAAGTTCATCTGCAATTCAAAACATGCACCACTACGCTACCCCAAATGGTACATATCTTCTTGTTTTCTAAAAGTTTACGGGGAGGGGAAGCTATCGTCTTAGGGTTGGGACATACCACAAAGCTCTGAAGACTTGCAAAGGGGGGTTTAGTCCTTTTTTTTATTATTTTTATAAATCGCCCACTAAAAGGGAGCGGGACTCGAACCAAATTGTACATATCTTCAAATAAGGACTCGTTTGGAACTGTTTTTAAAATAATTGAAAGAGCTTTTAGAGAAAATATTTATAAGTTCCAAAAGCAATTAAAGTGCTTCCTGCAAAAAGCCACTAGTTATGTGCTTTTTGTAGAAAGTATTTCAAGTGATTTTCTGCGATTTACTGATATTTTTACTAAATATTGGTTTTAAAAATATTTTCACAAAAACGCTTCAGCTATGTCAAAAATAATTCCAAACGAGCCCTAATTTGTTCGCGGTTCATCATTTACCCCAAAACTTCTACGGCAAAAGACTGGGCTTCTCTTTGCGTTCGTTGACCTTAAACCATCACTTGACGTAGTCCAATATGCTTAACGGGTTCAATTTTCTTTTGGGCTGCGGTCAAGCCCACACCCAAAGAGAGTATAAACAAAAAGAACCCACAACCCGGCGGCCACCACTTCCGAGACGATGTCGTTCTCTCGCCTCCTCCAGCGCGCCTTCTGCACCGCCACCCAATCCAACGCCGCCACCACCAACAGCATTGGCGTCATCTCCACCAACCTCTACAAAGAGCGCAACCTGAAACGCCTCGTCGAGAAGTTTAAGAAGTCCTCCGAACTCTACCGCTTCCGTACCAAAACCCCCATTTACGAGGACGCCGTCCGCCGTCTCGCAGCCGCCAAACGTTTCAAATGGATCGAGGAGATCCTGGAGGACCAGAAGCAGTACCCGGACTTTTCCACGGAGGGATTCGCTGTTCGACTGGTTACGCTTTACGGGAAAGCTGGCATGTTCGAAAATGCCCAGAAGGTGTTCGACGAAATGCCTGAGAAAAGCTGTGAGCGCACCATCTTGTCCTTTAATGCCCTCTTGGGTGCTTGTGTTAACTCCAAGAAATTCGACAAGGTTGCTGAGGTTTTTAGAGGGGTCTCGCAGAAGTTGTCAATTGAGCCGGATGTGGTGTCGTATAATACTGTGGTCAAGGCGTTTTGTGAAATGGGTTCGTTGGAATCGGCGGTTTCAATGCTTGTTGAGATGGAGAATAAGGGTGTTGAGCCGGATGTGATCACATTCAACACGATCATGAATGGGTTGTATGCGAATAATCAGTTTTTGGCAGCCGAAAAAATATGGAGTCGAATGGGGGAGAAGAATGTTGTGCCTGATGTTAGGAGCTACAATGCCAGGTTGCTGGGATTGGCTTCGGAGAAGAAAACTAACGAGATGGTTGAGTTATTCGAGGAAATGAGGAACAAGGAAGTGAAACCTGATGTGTTTAGCTTCAATGCCTTGATCAAGGGATTTGTTAATGAGGGGAAATTGGAAGAAGCTAAACAGTGGTACCGAGAACTGGTGAAGAGTAGTTGTGCTCTGCAGAAATGGACTTTCCAGACGCTTGTTCCCTTTGTTTGTGAGAAGGGTGACTTGGACTTTGCCTTTGAACTCGGCGAGGAAATTTTCAAAAGGCGCCTCCTTATCGATGTGGAGCTATTGCAGGTTGTGGTGGACGGCCTGGCTAAGGCTTCCAGAATCAATGAAGCAAAGAAGATTGTGAAGCTTGGGAACACAAATACTTACCGGCGTTACAATTTGCAGTTGCCTTCGGACTAATGTATTTCTGTTGTTCTTTGTTCTGTTTTGCTTGTCGAAACATTTGTGGTTTTGTTGCTAGACCTTTTAAATTTTACTATTTAAATTCGTGAAAGCTTCAATAATTTCTTCAATTTTATAGCGTTGAATAATTAGTACACAGATTCAGTTTCATACAGCATGGATTTCATATACACCTCAAGAGATGGAAGGTGCTGGTTGTCATCGTAATTATACATCAACGGGACCATTCTTGCAAGATTAAGGGAAGCGTTGGTGAACGTCGCCGGAAAAGGGTAATTTGGAGAGACCAGTTCCTTGTTCAGGTTCTTCCATTCTTTTGAAATCATATTCACTGTATTTTCTTGTGCTTCCTCCATGGAAGAACCTGGATGTTCTTGTAAGTAGCACCTTACATATGACCCGTCGTGCCCACTTTGATTCTCATCCTTCAGCCAAAATAATCACATTTTGAGAGATATGAACAAGACATTTACTCTATTTGTAGTGTTTGATATGAATCTAATGATATATAATCACCTCTGCGCTTCCGAAATCGTCCCAAAGCCGAAGAATTGCTGCTGTGGAAGACACAATTGCTGGAGTTTCATTCACCAGCTCCACACTTTGTTTGGTTATACCTTGACCCAAGAGAAAGAAGATATGCACCATCACCACATTGACACCAGAAGAAACAATACCATTCTTTAAGTAGTCTTCTGCCTTCGGAAAGTGCCCGGATTTGAACCATTTTGCTTCTACTAAAAATGCATTGCACAGACTCCCCCACTGCACGTAATCGTAGAACGAAATATCTGTTAAACCTTTCTTGAGCAAACTAGTAGTTAAATTTCATGACACTAATCTGGTTTAATATATCACCGCTTTCTTCAACGAATGTAACGGGTTCCACCCGTGCTTTTGATAAACCTCGCAGCTGATTTCATTCGTTATATTGTAGAGAGCCTCGAAACATATCTTCATGTAGTCCGGTAAGTGCTCTATAGCACCAATTTCCCATCTGCAGCATAACATTTACTGACCAATTTGTGGTGAAAACTGGTGAAGCCAATTAAGAAATTACAGGACATTTTACCTATTGACAGCCTCAGTGAAGAGAGTGAGTTCATCAAGCGTCCCGTAAACATCAAAAATGTCATCAATCAAATAGATGAATGAGATAGGTTTTGTGAGCTGAATCCTCTCCTCTGACAAGTTTGGATCTGTTAGGCATGCCATGGACCAAATGTACCATTTAACTGGCTCGTCTCTTGCAAATTTCAGTTCCCTTGTCAATCCCAGCTCTTTCCACCACCTAATTAATTTGTTGGATAAAATAAACAGACAAATTAGGGTTTCTAAAGTAGTGCAGTTAAACGTATACTTTTTAAATGCGGATATATTCTCAATATTACTGATATTGTTGGTACTTCAACCTCATAGATATGTATCCAACATGATCTCTAATAAGTTTAACAGTATTTTAAAAGGTGCAGTTAAACGCACGACAGAAAAACACCCCATATATGTATATCTCTGCTACTTCTAAAGTCATTGTTAATTAACTTACTTGGAAATTTGAACAATCTCCTTGTGGTGTAGGGACTGAACCAAATTAAAATCCGTTTTTGCCACTTCTTGTAGCATATTTAGCCATCTATTATTCATGCCAGCTTGGGAATTAGGAAGCAAAAAGTTCTTGGCCATGAATGCGGCCAAGCTTTGGTGATGGGGGCACCCCAGTGTGTTCTCCACAAGTCTGGCCTCATGAGGACCGAGATATGACAGTGATCTGTTTAGGAGATGACCACTCAATTTTCCAGCTTCATCAAGTGCATCTTCTCCTTCCATGCTTAGTTGTGAAGCTTCATACACACTCATCAGTCCCTTGACCTCTTCACTGTTTAATATTTGCTTAAAATACTTTCCTTCTCTTTCCTTGAAATTGTTAAACACATCTGTAATTAATAACAAAAGTTATGCTCGGGAGTGATGGACTGGTACCGGGTATCAATCTACAAAACTATGTACATATATGAAACAAATTGTTACCGAAATTTTATTATACTACTCACCCTCGGGCACGAAGTGACCATGTTGTCTGAGAAGCCGGAATCGAAGGGAAACTTCATGAAGGTCATTTTGTTGATGAGAAAGGGCATTAGCATGACTAGATATGATTAGGTCAATTTGTTCTTCAAAGTGGTAATCGATACCTAGACGTTGAATGGCATCGATCATGTTCAAACTTTCTTCTCCTACTCTGCTCAATAGATTCCTGAATACCTCCAACTTTTGTTCATGCTGGAAACGAATGTCATCCTGCAAACAAGGTGGAGTTAATGGAATAGTGGACATAGGTTTGGATATATCTAGCTGAATGAGATTAGAGTGCCCAAGATGTAGGTTCATTTTTTGAGCAATATTTGGAGGAGTGGACATAGCAAAGATGGCCTGAGAAGAAAATGCCATAGTAGGAAGAGAGAAATGGAGCAAACCCAAAGTGAATGAGAATGACAAACCCAAAGAGTCTTGGATTATATTTATAATGGAAAGATGGTGTGTAAATCACTAGTCATGTGACTCTTTTTGTTTTTTTTTCTTTTAAGAAAATCTCGACCATACAATAGAAATTTGATAACAAAAAAAATGTGAAACACTCTTTCTAACTAGGAGCGGAGCCATGCAGAGATTGTAGGTGGCCTTGGCCCTCCCGCATCACTTGAGCAAACTTGCATGTGTTTAAAAGGAATATAAAGGACTTCGAATGTGTTTATAAGGAATTAGGTTACTTTTGATAAATTAATCTGTGTGAAGCTTAACGACCACACATGCTTTGCATCACCTAATTTACTCATACTTTCAACATAATAAATTTTAGATGAAAACATTTTATTTTTTTGCGTTTAGAATGTGTTGTCCATTCCAAATGTACTATGTGGTATTTTTGTATTTGATTTATTTGTGTGGACTACAAGTCTACCAGTACAACTGTACAAGGCTATACGACGAAATCCCATGTGCAAAAAAATTCGACGGTACGAAAAAAAACCCCAAAACTACACAAAAAATCACGTTTTAGAAATTAGAGTAATTTATGAACACGTGGCTTTAGAGAGAATCTACCACAAAACTACTAAATGTTGGGGCCACAAGATATTTTCCCAAATTCATGGAAGGCGTAGGTTGTCCTCGTTGCCATACATTAATTGCACCATTCTTGCAAGATTCAAGGCTGCTTGTAGGATACACCAATTCTTTGTTCAGCTTCGTGCCCATCTTGATTCTCATTCTACAATCAGTATCACGATAAGAAAATCTCACGTGCTTTATGTGCAGACCCGCATGCCACAAATTTTGATGGACAAATAGTTTTTGTGTGATGAAGCCGGTAAGAAATCCACCACACATAATATAGAACCTCAGATATGCAATGATGAACAGACATTTAGTTACTTGGGTGCTTGATATAAATGGTACTGTAAATATGCAATGAGTAAAGTTGAAGTTCCACCATAAATTGAATTGATAATATGGAGAATTGTTCAATCTCTTATAAACCCTTACAAAGTTTCTCTTTTCACCGATGTGAAACTCTTTTATCTCCATATCCTTATACGGCCACTCATGTGAGACAAATTTTCAAGCCATACACGTAAATAATATGAATTGGGTGACATTGAGCACATGTAGCCGTTGGGCTTCACACGTGGCCAACATGCTCTGATGTCATGAAAAAAGTTGAAGCTCCACCATAAAACCAATTGGCAACATATGGGAGGTACCCAACTTCTTATAAATCCTTGCAAAGCTTCTCATTTCACCAATTTGAGACTCTTTTACCTTCACATCCTCTCACATATAGTTACCTTTTCACTTTTCAACTCGTCCCAAAGCCGAAGAATTGCTGCTGTTGAAGATATAATGGCTGCAATGCCATTCAAGAGCTCCACACTTCGATTGGTTATATACCTTCACCCAAGAGAGAGACAATGTGGGCCATCACCACATTCACCTCCCAAAAAATAATTCCATTATTCTTCAAGTACCCTTCAGCCCTAGGCAACTGCCCGGATTTGAACCATTTTGCTTCCACCAAAAAAATGCATTACTCAGCTTATAAATATGATTTAAATAGATGGTCTCTCTAAAGCATTACTTGTAAGTCTCATGAGAGCTGCACACTTGTTAATACATGTATCTAAGGTTTGAGGTTATAGAGTTCGAGTATGACTTTGTTTGTAAGCTACCAAAAGGTGTGTACGATAAGGAATGTAGCTAAACAATCCTGATAAACTATACTACTGTTATATTATCTGATATGGATACTTGGGATTGCATGATAAGGTTGAGTTCAATTAGGACTAACATTATGGGAAGTCTCCTAGTTGAACACCATTGCATAAGGTATAAATATAGGGTCCCTGCACTCTCAATTGACACGCAATAAAAGAGCCTCACGCCCCATAGTATTGAGCAATTGCATTCTGAGATTGACGAGTTGCAGAAGAAGCCTATCTCGATCGCATTCTAGCCGACATGGTTTCTACAGGTTAGTGGTTATTTGGTTTTAGTGAACAAGTTATGTATTAATCTAATCTTACATTTGGTATCAGAGCTTTCACATACCAATTAACCCTAAGATGAAAGCATCAAGAACAATTTTGTTTCTACAGAATATGGACTGATGACAAGTTATCAGGGAATTCATGTACTGAGCATATATCAGCTAAAGCTGTTTGTGTTCAAATGCATATCTTCAAAAACTTGGACATCAGTAGTTGCACTAGAGTTTGATATGTAAACACTGATCATCTAAAGATGAACCGTTGTTTATATATCAAATTCTAAGTGGCAGAATGCTTCATTAAAACCATGAATGACCACCGACATGACCACAAAACCACAAAGGTTTATAGTCATGATCAAAGTCAGGTTCGTTCATGGGATATGTTGGCATTGTGATAAAGAAAATTGTTCATAAATTTTAACATTCAAAGATGTTGAAACTGTGACATATGGATATGGGACTAAAGTTTAATTTCTTTGCATATTGCGGTTTTAAAGGTGTCAATCCAAGCTCCATGAATCTCAATACCATTGAGCCACTGACTGGAATGAATTATAAGAAGTGGAAGCAAGACCTTGAGATTGTTCTTGGGGTGATGGATATGGATTTGGCACTAAGGAGTGATGAACCACTGCTGCCCGATGAAGGATGCACAGCAAGTCAAAGGTCTAAGCATGAGAAATGGCAGAAAGCAAACAGAATCTCTCTCATGATTATCAGAAGGACCATGACTGATGTTGTGCGCGGGGGTTTCCCAGAAACATCCAAAGCCAAGGATCTTATGAAATCCATTGAAGAAAAATACAAGGAGTCCGAGAAGACCGAGACAGGTAACCTGATGAATTCTCTCACCACTATTAGATATGATGGAGTTGAAAGTGTTCGGGAATATATTCTCAAAGTGGTGGACATTGCTGGAAAATTGAAGATGCTTGAGGTACCAATTTCTGAGACTTTTTTGGTTCATGTAGTTATGAATTCTCTACCTGAAAGTTACACTCAGTTAAAAGTCTCATATAATGCACTGCAAGCTAAGTGGGACATCAATGAATTGATTTCCATATGTGTGGGTGAGGAAGTCAGAATTAAGAAAGAAAGGGCTGAGAAAGAAAGGGCTGAATCAGTGAATTATGTCCAAAGCTACAACCAAAACCCCAAGCATGGTAACCATGATACTGTCAGAAAAGATGCTACCAGAAGTACTTCCTCCTCTAAGAAAGTTTTTAAACCTAACAAACCAAGTATTTTCAAATGTTTTTTCTGCAAAAAGGCAGGCCACATGAAGAAAAATTGTCCAAAATACAAAGCTTGGCTTGCCAAGCAAGAAGTGAAAAAAGGTAAAAATGTTTTCGTTTGTTTTGAGTCTAATTCAGTTGACATACCTAGTAATGCATGGTGGCTTGACTCTGGCTCTTCTATTCATGTTACGAATTCATTGCAGGACTTCACAATAAGGAGAACACCAAATAAAGATGAAGTGAAGGTCTTGGTGGGCAATGGAAGAAGGGTTGAAGTCAAAGCTTTAGGAACTGTTAGACTTAAGTTAGAATTTGGTTTTCATTTGGATTTGGAAAATGTTGCTTATGTACCTTCCATGAGGAGGAAATTAGTGTCGGTTTCAAAACTTGTTTTGCTAGGTTATTATTTTACATTAAATAAAATTGGCTTCAACATCTTTTACAATTCTTCTCACATTGGCACTGGTTCTATATGTGACGGGATGTTTCAGTTCAAATTAAGAGTTGAAAACGTGATTTTTAATGTTGAAAAGAACCATGAAAAACCACAACAGTCATCCCATCTTTGGCATAAAAGACTCGGACATGTTTCAAAACCGAGAATGGAACTCTTGATCAAAAGTGAAATTTTACCACCCTTGAATTTTAATGATTTCGAACTTTGTATAGAATGCATCAAGGGAAAAATGACTAATTCAAGAAAAGAAGGATCAACTAGAAGCAAACAACTTTTAGAGATCATTCATACAGATATTTGTGGCCCCTTTCCTACAAAAACAATCGATGGAAACAAGTACTTTATAACATTTATAGATGATTTTTCACGTTTCTGTTGTATATATTTAATCCCTGAGAAGTCAAAAGCTCTTGAAGTCTTTAAAATTTTTAAAACTGAAACTGAAAACCAATTGGAAAGGAAGATCAAAGTGGTTAGGTCTGATAGAGGAGGTGAGTACTATGGTAAGCAAAGTCAAACTGGCAGGCAACCAGGACCATTTGCATTGTATCTTCAAGATCATGGCATTGTAGCACAGTATACCACTCCTGGTACACCTGAGCAGAATGGAGTCTCGGAGAGAAGAAACAGAACCCTTATGGACATGGTTAGAAGCATGATGTGCAAGGTGAACTTGCCAAATTTTTTGTGGGGAGAAGCAGTCAAGACTGCTAACTACATTATTAACAGAGTGCCATCCAAAGCAGTTGTGAATACACCTTTTGAATTGTGGACAGGTAGGCGACCTAGCCTTAATCATTTACATATCTGGGGATGCAAGGCTGAAGCTAAGGTTTACAACCCTAATGGCAAGAAGCTCGATCCTAAGACACTCTCTTGTTATTTCGTGGGATATGCTGAGAGGTCTAAAGGTTTTAGGTTTTATTGTCCCAATCATGACATGAAAATTGTTGAGACTGGCAAAGCAATATTTATGGAACTAGGGATGGATGCTGAAAACTGTTCGAGGACAGAAGAATTTGTTTTTGAAGAACAAGGAGATATATGGGCTGAATATGACCAACAACAAACTGTACCCAAGTCAGTGGTTGAACTTCCAAATCACGTGGACCATAGCATGGGAAATGATGATTATTTAATTCAACATGGCAGCAACCACGCACTAGTGAATGGTAATGAAATTGAGGCATTATTAAATGATGAACAACATGAAGAGAATGAGGAAGGGCACGTGGAAAATGCAGCTGCAAATGGCAGC